GAGCTTTGAATTTAGCTCAAAAATTGATTCAGATTTTGGCCTGAATCGAGATTGGATCAAAATAAACGAGTCAATATATGAGCCATAATTTTGAATCGTTTTTTTTTTTTATTCAACCCTAGCTCAACTCAAAATCAGATGACTAACAACCCTAGTGATGTTAGGGTTGCGAATTTAGTGAATTTAGCCTGACTATCGTTAATCGCTCAAAAATATATTCAAATTTTGGCTCGGATTGAGATCCGATCGAAATAAATGAGTCGAGCTACAAGCCAAAATTTTAGATCAAATTTTTTTTCGAACTAATTTTGAATTGACCCTAGCTCGGCTCAAAATCGGATCTTTAACAACCCTACCTAAACCGAGTGGCCGGTTCAATTAAACCATACCTCCCCTACGTCTCCCGTGTCATACTTGCTAACATTATTTAAATAACATGACTTAACAAGCTCTTTCGATCAAGATTTCAAATAAACATAAAAACCATGTATGCATTATACGGAGAAGCTCAACTTGACCGGATCTATAATATCATATCTAAAAACATAAGCTACAGCATTTAAATGTGTTTGATGGGCAGTGTATGTCTCAGACTCTCACATATGCCCCCAATCTGACATGTCTACGCACAAATAAACATATCAACAAGCCTTAGTATATATATAATGCGACTAAAGAAAGATACCTGAAATGGAGGGCCATAAGGTATTTTTTGAAGAGAAAATATCAAGGTAATTAAATGGATTTTTGATGCAATAATAAGAAACCATCCAAGGTTAATGGAATTGAACGTCCATAATAAGCTTAGTTAAAACCGGAATATTATTTGTTTGGAAATATTCAAAAATATTAATCATTAATGACCCTAGAAACAAGCATCATAATAGGGGATAAGAGAACAAAAACAGGTCATGATGGTTTAAGAATGAATGAGAGAACAAGCAGATCTGGACGGATTCTGAAAAAATATAGAAATAAATGGAACTATAAATGTCCATATATCTCGCTTACACAAGATTGGCCCATGACCTAGTTCAGAATGATATACCCAAGATTGCAATGAAATAACTCCTCATTTGTAATTAAAAAAAGAAAAAAAGAGGGGCATTTAAATTCATACCACACAATTCTTATGTATTTACATATATAACACCTGGACTTTAGATTACAACAAAAATATATTATTACTAATTTTTTAAAAGTGAAATATACATTTTCATGCATTTGTTGAAGATCATAAAAGAGTTATGAAGATAAATATCAAAATTTAGGTGTTAGAGATGGAAAAACATATAAATTGCCACACAAAAAAATCCAAATATAACAGAATATAATTACCTAGCTTCTCGAACAGCATTGGAGCAAAGTTCACCAGCATATTTCACAATCTCACTAAGACAGTTAGCCCATCTATTCTTATCTGGGCTTTCAAGAATGGATTGCAAGGACACATCGACCGGAACAGGATCAAATTCTCGCCTTAAATCATAAGGACGACTGGAATCCCAATAGCAACTTTGAACAATGTCATCCTGTGATGATTTAAAAAATTACATAAAATAAAACATAGAAAGACATAATAAAAGAAGATTTCAGAACATAATAGTCATGATCACAATAAATTCAAAAATAAGAGATAATACATAAAATAAAGGACATTTGATAGGTAATCTAACCCCATTTTCTTCCAAGATATCAATCATAAATATTGGCTCTGCTTCATATTTCAACTTCTCCTCAGAATTCTCTTTCAACGATGAAATATTCCTCAAATCATTCCTTAGTGCACGGACACAACGCAATAACTCCAAGGCAATGTGCCTTATCTGAACATCAATGGAACAGAGGAAAACAAGACCAAGTGCATCCATTTCTGATGCTTGGAATTCATAAGGACCTGGTTGTTTTATATTATGAATATCATCATTCATGCTTTCATCAGACAAGCAGGCCCTCCACAGGCGCATGTATTCCACCAGGCGGCCTAACTGAGTTTGAATAAGAAGTGGAAACTCATCGGGAAGTTTCAGTATAAAGTTAGCCATTCCCTTCATTACAGCAAAACGACGGTGTGGAAGATGACGTACAATCCGATTCAATACCTGCACTGCTTCCTCACGAACACCGGGATCAATGCTTATTCCATGCTGAGGAATTATATCTGCTATTTTATCACTTCTTCCAACTTCTTCTATCAAATATGGTATGCACTTGAGAACAGACTTGAATAGAGATCCTTGAGATTTTTCTTTTGAAATGGTATCTGGAAACCATAGTATCTTTAGTAATTTATTAATAATAGTCCCTAAGCTAGAAGAAAAGATGAGAAAATAAACCCCCCAATATAATAGATTAAACAATGTAAACATTCCAGGAATAACGGAAACATGAAATAAAATATTCATATTCTATGCAAGATGGACCTTGATAGCATTCAATCCACCCATGTCTATTTTTACTTATTAGACATTCTTCATTCTTATCTCTTCCTTATGTTTTAAGTTCACAACCCTCACTAAAGCTTTCAATCAACCTCTGCGCCACAAAAAATGCTTCAGTAAGTAATGAGAACGAAGATCCGCCAAAGAACCCTGAATCTGTGATTTCATGTTATCAAAGAAAAGTCATCAAACTCACCCTACTTATATCATAAACTTGTGAGGTCCCCAACATAGAAAATTTTACAGGTTTTTTGCTGATGCTACTATTTATTATATTCATTACACTCACCCACTATTCTGATTTTGAAGAAAGTTGGAGAAAATGGTATTCTCTTATTTCTTAATCATCAAATTACAACTCTTGTCCTTATATAATAAGTAAAGGCTAGAGCAAATTAAATTCCTATCGTTACAACTTATCAAAGACACAACAAACAACAAAAAAAAGAAATACAACATAATAAGGAATAAACGAGAGTAAATCTAAAATAAGAAACTCAAACTTCCACACTCCCCCTCAAGATGGGTAATTAGATGTTATAAAGACTCGGCTTTGTATTCAAATCAGTGAAGCTGTCTAGAGGTGGAGATTTAGTGAAGAGATCAGTAACTTGAAAATGAGTTGGAATGTAGATCAAGTGAATAATGCCTGCATTGATATTCTCGGAGATAAAATGTCTATCAATATCAATGTGTTTGGTCCTGTCATGATACACGGAATTCTTTGCAATACTAATGTTGGTTTCCCTGTCATAGAAAATCTTTATTGGATTGACCGTGGAGTATCCCAGCTCATTTAGTAAGCTTGGGATCTGCATTGCTTCACGAGTTCTCAAAGTGCTCAACACTTAGATTATGCGCTACTTCTAGATATCATTGTTTCATTCTTGCACCTCCATGAGACCAGATTTTCCCAGACATAGAAACAATACCCATATGTGGATCTTTTGATTATGAGTTCTCCTGCTCAGCATCAATGTAGAGATTTACCTCCATACTGTAAAATTTCTTAAACAATAACCCTCAATTAGGGGTCTTCTAAAAAAATATCAATATTTTGCAAACCATTTCCAAATGATCAACATCTAGACTATTTATATGTTTACTCGCTATGCCGGCAGAGTAAATGATATCAGAACTAGTGTGTGACATATAGATGAGCTTGCCCACCAATCTCTAGTATCTACCTTTTCCACTGGTATCTTTTCTCCCTCGACTGTAACTCTTTATTGAAATTCATATGAGTCTCAGCATGTTTGTATCTCATCCATCATTTTTTTATCAATAGGTCTAAGATGTATTTTCTTTGAGATAACAAAATACTCATCTTGGCTCTGACCACTTCCATGACCATAAAGTATATCATTGCTCTAGATCCTTAATTTAAAATTTAGTAGTTTAATCTCTAATATCTCCTTAATCTTCTCAATCTCTTTCTCATCATCAGCTTTCAGGATCATATCATCTACATAGACAATGAGTATAACTTGCTTACCTCCCTGTGCATATTTTATGAATAGTGTATAATATGCTTGGCATTGGATGTACATATTAGATTTCATAATCTCGGCAAACTTGTCGAACCAAACCCTTGGAGATTGTTTGAAGCTATAAAGTGATTTTCTTAGTTTACAACCCTAATGATTCATTGAGTCATTATCTAGTCCTGATGGGATCTCCATATACAATTCTTCCTCAAGGTAACCATTCAAAAATGCATTGATGTCAAGTTAATACAGACCACACTCTTTATTCATTTCCATGGAAAGAAGTATTCTTACAGTTTTCAACTTGATCGCTGGAGCAAGTCTCTTGATAGTGTGTACCATAAGACTGGGTAAAACCTTTGGCCATCAACCTGACATTGAACCTCTCAATGCTCCCCTTTGCTTTGTACTTGACACTAAGCACCTATTTGCATCCAAAGGGAGCTTTGAAGGCTCCAAGTGTCATTTAAATCAAGTGCTTGGATGTCTTCTTCAATTGTATTTTTCCATTCTAAACTTTAAAGTGCTTCATGAATAGACTTGGGTATCCGTACGCTATTAAGATTAGATACAAAAATTTTATAAATTGATAATAACCTTTCATATGCAACATAATCCTGGATAGGATAATTTGTGCAACTTTCCCTTTCTTCACTGGATTCCACCGCCCTTGAAACCTCAGAGATGTGTGAATTCAAGTTTGATTGTGAGCAGTCATGGATTTCTATCTCCTAGTATACACACAAAGTTTTTTATTGCCAATCTCAAGTTGGATGATTTCAACTGATGGAACTTTGGCGATAGGATGGCCAGAGGGAAGAAGAATAGGTTGTGATGACTCTAGGTTGATGTGAGTATCTAAAGTAGTTTTCCAAGTCTAATATTCATTCAAGTCTCCTCTCTCCCCTTGAATATCAGATTTAGGGTAGTAAAGTTGGTTTTCAAAACAAAGTACATCCATGGAGTTATAGTACTTTTTTTTTAATAGAAGAATAACACTTGTACACCTTTTTGTTAGAAGTATACCTAAGATAGATACATTTGATGGTTTTGGGTCGTGTTTTGTGCGGTTTGGTAGGTGAATGTAAAAAAAGAAATGCAACCACATATTATTAATGAAAGATTGTATGATAAAGTTCTGACATGAGGGTATTTTTTCAAACACAATATTAAGAGGGGCTTTGAATCCAATGACCCTATTTGGTATTCTATTAATGAGATATGTGGATGTGAGCTCGATTTCCCAAAAAAAAAATTTAACATTGTGAAAAAGCATTATAGACTTAAATACCTCGAGCAGATGTCTAGTCTTCCTCTCAGATATCTAATTTTATTGTGGAGTTTCAACAGGAACTCACATTGATGATATCATTATTTGTAATGTAGGATCCAAGAATAGAGTTGAAACATTTCTTTACATTATCAATTTTGAAAATCCAAATTTTATATTAGAACTGAGTGAAAATCATGTTATGAAAGTACTGAAATATTTGTATAATTTCGAATTTTCCCATCATGAGGTATACCCATTTGGTTCTAATGCAATCAATAATAAATGAGACAGACAAGTTGGCTCAACCGACGGTTTTCAATTTTGATGGTCCCCAATGTCAATATGGATGATAGAGAAAGGATGTGAGGGTTTGTACTGTGATGAAGGATAGACACGACGAGTATGTTTTGTCAATTGGCATGTTTAACACTAATAAAATTCAGACTTCTTTATTAATAAAGAGATGATGGTACAACTTTGCGGCATAATGAAAATTGGGATGACCGTGACGACAATGTTATAATAAAGCTTGATTTTCAACAGACTTGGGAACGTGAGAAGAGAATAGCGGAGAATACATTTGTGTTAAGAGAATAGCTTTCCTTGAGCAGGTATAGACTTTGAAGCAATTTAATACTGTTAATCACCTTCCCCGAATCCACCACCTAAAATTCATAAGAATTAGAATGAAATTCAATAACACATTTCAAGTCATGAATAAGCTTACTAATCAAAAGTAAGTTGTAATCTAATTGGGGAACATATAGCACAGAAGAGAGCTGAATATTCTTTGAAACTTTTAAATTCTCATTTCTCAATAATATTGGAGAGAGAATCATCGGCAAGTCAAACAAATTTAGGGTCTATTTGGGGCAGCTACAGCTTATCCAGCTTATTCAGATAAATTGTTGATCAGCAGCTGGTTCGAATAAGCTGACTGGCTGTTTGGTTTGTGCGTTTGAAATACAGCTGATTTGTAGTTGTTTCTGGATAAATGATCATTCTGCCCTTGTGCAATTGTGTTGTTTGCAACAAAACTGTCATGACTATATATTTGATAGTTTAGAACCAAAAAAAACTTCATAACAGTACAAAAAATAAGATAAAGACCTTAAAAAAATATTACAAAAAAACAAATCATCATATTTAATAAATAATAAAAATGAATTGTCACCAAATCAACTTGAAGAAAATCAGTGCTAATATAGATGTGCCTTAATTTTTTAATAACAAAAAAAATGTCAACTAGTTAGGAAAAAATGCCACACTGGAATCCAAAATTCTAACATCCACATTTAGAAGGCTGGCGTGAATAGGCTTACCTTCCCCGATGGTTTTTGATAGGAGCGAAGTGGAAGGATGAGAAATATGGGAGTATTGCTGGTTTTTTTTATGTCGCAATCCCATTGTGGCCTTCCCTACTAGCTCTAATCGCGACTGTATTGTGAGGTTTAATTCACGAAGGCGATGGTTTTGGGCGAAATCAGGAGAGTGGGAGTGATGTAGGTGAGGCTTCGGCCTGCGACGACAAGCAATGTGATGTGCGACAAGTGGCGAGCAAGCATGTCCTTAGATCTTCTTCTCCTCTGCGACTCTTCTCTCTGGGACGGGACAAGGGTAGACGAAGTGCAAAAGGGCAGCCCCGTAAAATATTTCACGGGAATGCGGGCTACGGCGTCAAACCCACGGCCCCGTTTAATAAAAATTTTTCACGGATTATCACGAACGCACCCCACACGCCCAAATCAAACGCCTCCTTCAGCGTTTTCAAAATCACACCACAGTAAATATGTTGCACTAAACGGACCCTTAGAGTTAAGGAACTCTTGATAGTTGGTAAGAGCATGAATAATTCTAGTTATGTGATCAAAAGCACCCGAATTTATTATCCAGTCGAAATATTTCATTGTTAGTGAGATATGACATGATACATTCATGTATCCATCAAGCTGGCAGGTTGCTCAGTTGTGCTCAAGAGAAGTATCTTCAACGCCTCAAGTTGTTCCTTGGAAAAAAGGTTAGGGTCGGCTGACCCTTCAGACAAGGTAGCAGCATGTGCCTTGCTATCTTGGTCTTTCTCCCTTGCCCAAGTTATCAATTTGCAAGTTTTCCATTTTATTTCCAACACTTGTCCTAGTGTGACCAAGTTTCTAGTAATGTTCACATAAGGGACGATTCTTCTTTGGCTTTGCCTCATGGATGAAGTTACATGCGTACAAGGCGGAGCTTTCAGTGCTAGAAGAATCCACTCTTCATGTCATCATGAGCTTCTACCTACTTTCTTTTCTTCTGACTTCAACAAAGGCTTCCCAAGTGGGGTAGGGAGAGACTTTATATTCATGATTCTTCCTCTTACCTCATCTAAGTTCTTATTCAGACAAAACAAGAACTTGATCATTCTCTTTTTATCCACTATTGTTTTACATAACATAACAGCTTAAGAGCAATTTCATACATTAGTATCATGCATATCTAACTATAACCAGTATTTTGTGAGATTTAAAGTATTGAGTCACATTTAACTCTTCTTATCGAAACTCATGCAGTTGTCTCAATCTCAAACAATTCTACAATGTTTTTGGTACCAGAATGAGTATCACTTGTTGGTTCCCAAATCTCCTGTGTTGTCTTATAAAGCAAAAAATGTTCTTCAATCTTTATGGTCATAGAATTGACCCAATAACGCATGACCATATGATCCTGGATCAACCCAAGAGCAATAATTTGAGCTCAAGATTTGTGTCCTCTCTCATGAGATGTTCCTCTTTTCCTTTGCCACAAATGAGCATAAACACGGATTGGAATCATTTGAGTTTATAATTTGTGATAAAATGAGAGAACTACAGGGTCATTTAGGCAGAATTTCTTGTCTCTAATTCAGAACTAACCTCCATAGTAGAGCTAAACATCTTCGTCCCGTACTTGGTCATAAGCCCTCCGCATTTGGGGTTGTTGTTGCTACGGAACAAAGCCAGTTGCTAACTAGTTGTTGTTTGTAGTTCCTTTGATTGCTCAGGAAGGAACAGATGGGTCACCGGCAAGAAAGCTGGGAGGTGGCTGCTCCTTGCATCTGGAGGCCTGGATTCAATGAAAGACAATGCCTATAGGGGAATAAGAGTAACGCATGTAGGGAAGGAGTGCCTGCAATGATCACGCCTTGGAAGAAGAATCGAGTATAGAAAACAGAGGATCTAGACGCAGACGACGGTATCACGGCTTACTGTGGCATGAGATAGAGGATTCAGTCTAATGATTTTGAAGCAAACAACGGTTTTAACAAAGACGACGAGATCGTGGCTTATAGTAATGCGATACAGTTTCGATTCACGCTCGTTGGGAAGCCGACGACAGGAGCGGATGCTGTCGTGATTTTGGCTGCTAGAAGGGTTGCACAACTATTTGAGAGACTCTAGCGGCTGTAGGAGCGAGCAGAGGTGGGTCAGTAGGCTGAAGAGAGCTGGGATTTCTTTCCTTGCTCTGATTCCATGAAGAAATGTGGAGAAAATTGTATTCTCTTATTTCTTCATCATCAATTTATAACCGTCTTTATATAAAAAGTAAAGGCTAGAGAATACTTAATTCCTAGCATTACAACTTGCCAAAGACACAACAACAATAACATAATAAGAAAGGAATAAATGAGAATAAATCTAAAATAAGAAACTCAGAATGTCACAGATTTAGCAATTTTTTAAAGCCATTTTGCGTAAATAAATGCTTTTGAAAGGGCTCCAATATTTCACATCTATCTCCAACTTATGATCCCCAAGCAATTTTTCTACTTGGCTTTAGAAATTGGTTCATCCCAGTCATATCTTCCTAAATCTAGTTTACTCCACAACATATGTACATTTGATGTATCATTAAGCAGCGTAACTAATATATTCAGTAACAATTTAGTTTTTAGATGGTTTTCCTTAATTTAAATTTCTGTTGCATATTGTCCCGCCAAGACGTCATAAACCATTTGTGGTTATTCATTTTGAAAAGTGAAGACCTTGGATTGGCCCTTCTAAGACAAAAGAAGCCTCAAGAAAGCTTCTTTTTCCATATTTTGATGCATTGTCCTTTGATTTGCCAAAGTTATGCTATAATGGATAGGCATGTTACTTATGATGGTTCTTTATTAGATTCATTATTCTTTCTTCTTCTTCTTTTTTATCCTATGCATGCAGTATTACAAGTTATGTGTGCTCATTTTCATATCTGATAAAGAGGCCCAACACAATTCATAGTTTACTTCCACTAAGATGTTTTCTTCTTCATTTTTTCAATTATAAAGCAATATTATCAATAATTATATGAGTAAGCTGTATTATTACAATGTAATTTACCATGTTAGTTTTGACTGGAGAACATTGAATAAAGTATGATATTATTTTTATCCTTATTTATTAATTAAAACTAATGAAGGAACAATTTTATTTATACATTATTACATCAAAAATTGTAAATGACAAAGTCTAGTGCAAAATGAACTTTATGCATTCTGTGCTACATATTCTAAACAAGTTAATATGTAAATTACCCCAAAAAATCCTCACTAAAGTTTCACTTATAAGTTCTTTTTTCTCCATTATAATCTCATTTTTCATAAAGCTAATTCACATATAATATGCAGTTTCAATGAAACTTTATAGCCTTTTATTAATGATTTAAATTTCAGGCCAAACATTCAGTGCACAAATATTTATGTTGTAGGATATAGGCCTCATAAAGACTTCATTTTGAAATTTTTCGTCAAACTGGCACTATTCAAGAGAGCAGTATCTCAGTTCTCAATCATCTTCCCAAGAAAAAATTGGATGAAGGGTAAGCCTTTTTCCAGTGAACAGGCCTAAATATGAAATAAAAAAATTTAGGATTGAACTGGAATCAAGTCTGGATCAATTCAACGGTATTCAGTTTGAGATTATTAATTAAATTTTATTGATTTAAAAAAAATGTTTTGATTATTAATCAAAATTGTTAACTATTTTGAAGTATTTAAATTATAGTTAAAAAGATTTAACAAAAAATATATTAAATATAAATGTATACACACACACACACACACACACACACACACACACACACACACACACACACACACACACACACACACACACACACACACACACACACACACACACACACACACACACACACACACACACACACACACACACACATATATATATATATATATGCACAGATAACTATCTGCATATAGCATCGTATATCAATTTTTAGTTGAATTAAACCTACTTCGAGAAAACAAGGTACCTATAGTAGTCTTGGATGAAGTAAGAAGAGCAAGACTGTATGTTCTGTTGCAAGCCCTCAAGATTGACTCGATAGCAGATTTAACTTTCGGGATGTGATGAGCAATATCATGATCTGAGAATGCAATGAAATTTCAGAACAGAACAGAAAACAAAAAAATAAAGAACATAGAAACAAACCGATAATCAAATTATATTTCTAAAAAGATAGTAATACCTTGGAAAATTTCCAATCCGGGACGTTTACTCGAGGAAGACATCGCAATGGCAAGCAAAGCCCTTAAACCGATTACTTTTGCCTCACTAGAACCATCTGGTCTCAATAATTCCAATATCATATGGTTCATTGAGAAATCAAGATTATTTTCAGCAATTGTTACACAAAATTCTACAAGCTTATCGTGCTGGGCATCCTGAGTTAACAAGCCCTTTTTCAAAACATTCAGCAACTGTGAAGTCACGCTATCTAAATAATCCCAGACACGATTTTTTGGCTGGTAACTCGCATATACGCTTAGATAAAACTTCACGACACGATGGAGACAGTCTAATGCCATCGATCGATGGTTCTTATCCTGCATAGAATATAAAGATTCAGTGAAACTAAAGATAAATAAAAAAATTAAGCACTATAACAAGGTTTTGAACAGCTCAAAATAGCATCCATTAGACAAAATAAAACAAATGAAATCATGCTTTTTAATAAAAGGGGCATGTACATACATACCAACCAATTCTTATGTATTTACATATATAACAGCTAAACTTTGTTTTCTGACTTTTATACCACCCAAATCTTTCATATCACATCAAAAATACCATTATTTCATATCACATCAAAAATTTTCATATCACATCAAAAATACCATTATTTTAACTCTTAAAAAGTGAAATACACCATTTCATGCATGTATAAGGTGGCATATATGTAAAAACTCAGGCTTAGGTGTTAGATATGTAAATACAGAAGAATTGAGTGGTATGTATGTAAATCTTTCTTAATAAAAATAGCTAGAGGCTAGGTCTGGACTTCAAATAAGTTTCACAATATGAAGCCTTACTCGAAAATGCTTATACAAAAGCTCCATATGAGGCCCAAAATTACCATTGAATGTTTGTGGATCACCAAGGCAAAGAAGAAGAGTCACCAGGGGAAAGCCAACCTGAGAAGTAAAACTTTCAGAATAAGAATAAAGTTAAAGTTCAAATTATAAGGTTAGCATTTATAACTAATCAAATCAGTTAAAAGCACCTGAGAAACAAGTGGCAATATTAATTCATTAAACTTTTCAATTATTTCATAGAATTGACCAAGTATCAGGTTATAAACAAGCAATAAAAGTATCATGGAATACACAAAAGCGAAGCACTGCAATAAAAAAAACCAAGGTATTAAAACAACTGTCAAAAAGTAGAACGAATAAGAACAATTCAAAAGATACCGTAATATGCTTGCTTTGTTTTTCCATCCAATGCATAAGTTGGCCTCTAATTCGAGTAACAGCTTCGTACCACAATGTAAGAGCTGAATCCACTCCTGATGGAGGCCAGTGGTTCTTTCCACCCTCTGCTAGAGGAGCTAATATGCTCGAGAGCATATTGCAGAGAGCGTGATGGAGTTCACTTTTCCTTTTATGAGCAGGTCGATTGAGAGGATTTGCTTTTGCTACGAAGGAGGCAGATGCATTCAAGCCGCCCTCAGTTTTAACCTGACAAAATATAAAATAAATTAAAAATTGCAACTGGCAACAAAAAAAAGGCATTTGTTGTTATTCAAATACAGTAGCAAGGCTTCTTCAAAAGAGGTCCCCAGCACTAGAAAGGTAACAGAGGAGGTTGAAATCAGCACCCACTACAAATGGATTAAGATTTTCTTCATCAACCAAGCAAATTTTAGCAAAGCCAATAATGGGGCATATCTGTCACACAGTGATGATTGTAATTTAATCAAATGAAAATTCATTGTAATATGGTTTGAAAGAACTAGCACCACTGTATTTTGACATATTCTTAGCACAACTTTTGTCAATCATAACTAACTCTCAGCTACAAAGTGCTTACAGTTTAGGACTATATTATTCTTAGGGTTACATGCTACGTCATATTCAGAGGCATATTCTACTATTTGTATGCGTTTGTATAACTCCTGCAAGTAAACACTTGTCAATAGCACAATGTGGCCATCACTAGGTACCCGTGGTTGTAAGAACTACTGGGATTGATTTTATAAGGGGGCGTGACGCAAGACATTTTCTTCACGGTACTGTAGCTGCTACAGTATCCTGGGATTCAATATCACGGGAGACGAACCACCAATATAGTCCATTTTTCCTTCTTATGCTTTCTTTCATACTATCATTCATTTAGTTTTAGTCATTTCCTATATATATGTTGTATTAGGGTTTAGAAGTCAGTTTTTAAGGTGTTTTCTGTCAGGACAGCCTCCAACATCCAGGATTTCCACTTCTAGGTTGTATCCGAAGGCGAGAAAGTGCTCCAGTTGTAACTTTTCTGAGGTGGTGATCTCCTTCCAAAGGATGGATTAGTGCTCCGGCTATAGCTCATTTCCAATGGGATATTTATCCTTACCTAACTCCTCCGCAGCCTTTCCAGCCGCCACCATTGCCTTCCCCAGTCTATATTCCTCTTCAATGCCATCAAAGTCCTACCCCTCTACCTTCGACGCCACCCCTGCTCCCTCCCTCATCTCGTTGTTTGGACCGTTATCCAACCCTTTGTACTTGTTGCAGCCACCCATGAAAAAAGCCTAGTGTTTTTTTTTCCTACAGTCCCGCCACTTAGCCACCTATTTCATTCATTCCAGCCATTCCCCTCGCTGCCCCGGCACCAGGACAGCACTCCTCTTACTGAACTGCAGTTCACAACCCTTCCCCCTTGGTTGTAGCCCTCGTTCCAAGCCCTCTGCTTCACCGCCAACGCAATTTCAGCCCCTCGTTTCAGCCTCCTACCACCACTCCACGATAACCTAGCCGACCTCCACCACCCCCAGATTGAGCCCTAGTGTAAGTTTGTCTTATTTTGTTTTAATTTCCCATCTAAGTGTGTTTGGTAGTAGTCATTTATTTGTTTTTAGTAATAGCATTTGTTTCTCCTATTGTGTTTTGGGTTAACTCCAGTATCATTTGGTATCAGGACTAGCATAACTCTAATCCTATCTTAGGGTTTCTAGCACCCCCACCCTACACAGTTTCTTCAACCAACCTACACCTAAAACCCCAACCACGCCACCGCAGAAACAATTATCGGAATCTGATCATGAATCTACCGTGGACAACATACAATGCATACTCCGCCAAGTGTAACATCGGCCAGATGTCATTGAGGAAACAACATGGGGTGGGATCAGTGTCGACCGTAATGGTGAAAGTCGTGAAAGAGAGCAAGTAGAACATTTGAATCCCTTCCGTAGAGATGACTCCAGTGGAGAAGAAGAAATGCCACAATGCTTTAGGGTATAGTATCAGCAGAGAACTAGAGCTAAATGGATCCATATTGCAACATATAGAGATGAGGTGTCTGTTGGAGGATGTAGAGATGAGATGTTCGTACGTTTGTTGGGGGATATAGATATGAGATATCTGTTAGAGGATATAGAGATGGATTATCTGTTGGAAGATACAAAGATAAAGTGTCAATTGTAGGATACAAAGATCTTAGAATGAAATTGAACCTATCAGACTTTGAGGGGAGAATGGATTCAGTTGACTTCCTAAAGTGAAAGCAGACTGTTGAGTAAATCTTTAAATATGGGAGGTGTTGTTGACCAAAGAGTAAAGCTCGGCACCATCAAGCTTAAGAAGTGTGGTGGGAGAATATGAAGAGGTAGAGACGGATAGAAGGATGCGACAATATCACTTCTTGAGAAAAGATGAAACAGGAGATGCAGTAAAAGTACACACCCACGCACTACTGTCAAGATATGTTCTTGAAACTGCACTCCTTGCAGCAGAAAGAGCTATCAGCGGAGCACATTGCAGAATTTATGCAGCTTAAGTTGCAATCCGAGCCAAAGGAGACAGAAGATTGCACCGTAGTCAGGAACTTGAGAGGCCTGAAGCACGTCATCAGTATTCTGGTCTAGCTGCAATCCTATAATACAATGAGAAACGTGCAAACTTTAGCACTAAAAGTGGAGAGATAATGGAAGCAAAGCAAGCACCACCCTGGTCAGACAGCCACCCACAGTTGGAGATCTCGGGAGGACCATGCCTCAATGAGTGGAGTAGACTGATCAGGTGCAGAATAGAGTCACTCCGAGTGAAAAGAAGCCTGAGAAGTAGCACGCCTACTACAATCCTAGCTAGGAAATAATTCAGGTTTCATGGTTTTGGACACTTCTCTTCCAGTTGCAAGACGGTCCTAATTGTGACTTTTACTATGTAGGGAGCAGTGGAGGAAGTTGGTAACAAGGAAACAACTGAAGAAAAGGGTGAGTACCAACTTTCATCATATGAGAGCGAGATGCTTGTGCATCCGCAATTCCTTCATTCTGAAACTAAGAGGAAGCACCAGTGGCTTCGTCATAATATATTTTATATTCATTGCACTGTGAAAAAAAATGTATGCAACATCATCATTGATGGAGATAGCAACAAGAATGTGGCATCAACACTGATGGTGGGCAAGTTGAGCCTCATGATTGATAGACATCTCCAATCATATTTCCTGACAGGAAATAAAGGAGAATAAGATTAACATTGACAAGCGGTGTCTTATGAAGTTTTTGATTGGGAGTCAGCTACAGGATCAGATTTGGTGTGATGTGGTGCCCATGGATACCTGCCACCATTTGCTAAGAGACCGTTGTAGTATGATAGCAAGGCTCAACATAATGGGTACAATAACACCTCATTCACCAAAGATGGTAAGTTCATAATCCTTCTACCTTCTGTGAAGTCCGAGAATATAAGTACCTTACCAACAAAGAAGCATCGGGAGGATCAGTCCTCATGAAGACAAAGAATCGCGAGAGGGAAGAGCTGATAGCAAACACAGGATAGCCAGTACATAGAGATTTCCAGTAAATCCTATTCGCTAGCTTATTACCCTAGCAGCCACCATTCAAGAAGATTCAGATTGTCCTCACCTTAGATCAGGTTGAATCAACATTAAGTTGCTCATGGAGAATTCAGCAAAATACACTTGGCATGGAAGCTCTATTCAGCGAGCAAGGTACCCCCAGATGGTTGGATCGATATTGATGTTTGATCATAAGTGAGAAAAACTTCTCATGTACTTTAGGGAGTAGTGCACTTAATAGTGGTATCCAGATGCTTCTCAGACCTCAGTCGAAAATCCCTCAACCCTGAGAGATTACAGCAGCTCTGTTACTTTCAACGTGTAGACAGACGCTTCAATGAATGAGGTTTAAACTCTCCCAAACACGAGAGATTAACACGGGAGCTTTCCTGCACTATTTTTTTGTGGTACTATAACTGCTACATCGTCGTCGGATTCAATATCGCAAGAAGGGGGAGAGGGGGAGACCGGCCACTGAAACAGTCTCATTTTCTTTTCTAATTCTTTTTTTCCTATTATATTTCATTCCTTTTTAGTTATTTCTTATATATTTATTGTATTAGGGTTTGAAATTTCATTTTTATGGTGTTTTCTATCAGGACAACCATCGGCGTCCAAGGTTTCCCTTCTAGAGTTGTATCCAAACAGATGGTGCTCCAACTATAACTTGTTTAAGGTGACAATCTCCTTCCAATAAACCGAAGTTGAGCTCGTTCCATAGTGGGTATTTATCCTAACCCAACTCCTCCGCAAGCCGCCATTGCCTTCCCCTCCCTCCTCTTCGCTGTTCTCGGAATCCAAGGACTCCAGCCCTCCTCTTCGCTGTTCTCGGAATCCAAGGACTCCACCTTCGTCGTTGCCCCTATTCCCTCCCTCGCCTCGCTGTTTCGACCGTTGTCCAACCCTCTCTGTAAATGTTGCAACCGCCCAACACAGCAGTCTTGTTGTTTTTTCAGCGGTCCCGCCACACAGCCACCTATTTCATTCATTCCAACCATCCCCTCACTACCCCAGCCCCGGGACAGCACTCCTTTTGCTATCACGCAGTTCACAACCCTTCCCCTTCGATGCCCCTTCATTGTCCCAACCCTCCCCTTGGTTTTCGTTGTCATTCCAGGCCCTCCACTTCACGGCCAACCCAATTTCAGCCCCACCTTTTATTGTCCCAACAGCCCACAACCCATTTCAAGCTCCTACCACCACACCCAAATTACCTAGCCGACTTCCACCACCCGCGGATCGAGCCTTACTGTGAGTTTGTATTGTTTTGTTGTAATTTCCCTTCCAAATGTGTTTGGTTATAACCATCTATTGGTATTTAGTAATAACATTTACTTTTCCTTTTGTAGTTTGGGTTAATTCCAGTATCCGGGCCAAAGATTAATATTTGTAGAATTAAATAATTACTTAGTTAATATAAACTAGATTATCTCTTAGCTAGAAAAAATGGGTATTATTCTACCCGAATATTAGACATTTTGTTTCTCGTTCTAGCATAGCCAATTAGGAAATTAGTCTCCAAGGTTAAAATAGTATGATTGTTATCCTCTCTCCTATTTATGTTGTGAAACTTCTGTAATTAGGGGGGCAATGCAAATAATTTTTTATACTCTCAAAATTAGTTAAAATAGTATGATTGTTATCCTCTCTCCTATTTATGTTGTGAAACTTCTGTAATTAGGGGGGCAATGCAAATAATTTTTTATACTCTCAAAATTACGTGTTTGAGATATAGCACCTTGAGCTGCAATCAATATAACTTTAAATAGCAGAAATTGTCTCCAAAAAAACAAACACAATACATATGACCAATAATTGGCTCTTATCCAATACATTTACAATGTAACTTTAAGATTTAGAAATTTTCCACTGAAGTACTAAAATCATAGTTTGATCTCATTTCAACTTATTGAAAAGAACACTAACTCAAATATGTTCTTTGACAATCTAATGATCAAATTAAGTTGCGGAAGAATGCGTCTTTTAAAAATACATAAAAACTTTCTTTTGTTTACAAAGGTAGATCAGCATAATGTCAAGTTAATATAGTTGATTAAGGATGTATTGAACTGTAACAGTTTCAAAGTACAGTGCAACAATCAGCACAAAGCTCTTTAATAAATATTAACAACCAGAAAGCTCTATAATATATATTAAGCACAAAGAATCTCTTAAATATCATAACAATCGCGCTCAGTTCAAAAATGGATCTCATGGAAATGTTTTCTATCACATAATATGCTCTGATATGAAACTAAACATTAAGTTAATCATGTCCACAAATTTATTTACCCAACGATTATATATGTTAACATAAATAGTAAGCTCCACTGAATTAGATCATTCAAGAAATTTCTTTGACTACAAGGGTAAACCAACAAATATCAAAGTGAAACACAAAACTAGAAATTAGGAATGCTCGATTATGTGTCAGACATTTTCTTCCGTTCTTTATTTCATGCCAAATCCAAAACAATAAAATTAATATCCTTTAAATTTAAGAAAAAAATAAAGAATTTTTTTTCCTTTTCAAATTCAAATGTTCTCTAATTAAAAGCAAAACAAAAAAATTGGGGAAAGTTATGCATTAATAAAATTTAATCAGCACAATCCATGTTCAATGGATTTACTCAAAAGCTCTTCTGAAATGACAGGTAGCAATTCACTCCACAAGAACTCTACAAAAGCAAGATTACTCGAACTTAAAATGTAAGGCAAATAGTGCTCACCCCCAATTTCAGGTAACGCATTCCATTGATTATACTGAGTGACTCACTTCTTGCAACACTAGTGTCAATTCGTCGAGCATTTAATTCCAAGAAAAAACGCTCAGTTACTGAACTAAACCTATAAAATACCAACGTAAGGCTTCAGTATTTCATTAGATGATTTAATAAACCTAAAACAAAAAAAATTATTCACTAAAAACATAAGATAATCAAAACATACAAAACAGAGAGTAAAATCTCACATCAGTGTAGAATGATATCTAGAGAAGCATATATCATGGCTTACCTTCGCATGTAAAGAAATTAAAATATGAAGAAACTTGAAAACATTATGAAATCTTCTCAGATTTTTGGATGCAAAACATAAGATTGGAATGAACTGCGATTCATTCCAGTAAAATGATTTCTTAACAACATACATATTCTGGACATAATTTTCACGCATTATGACCATACCAGAACCTAAATAATATGTTATATTCATTATATTGAATTTAGACAAATAAGGTCTAGCGCTCATCACTTTATGTTTCCAAAGTCCAAAACAAGTTACAAGCTATGTATTGTTGTAGCTAATGGATAGTAAGAAACTAGGCATGGTAACCAAGGCACACATCAAAACCAAACATGTTATTTTAACTTTTACTTCATGCAATTAATAATTAAGGTCCAGCACTCATCCCCTCATGTTTCCAAAGTCTGAGGCAATTGATGTTCCTTGTTTGATTTCAATGGTCAAAAACTAAATAACTGTACATTTGCATTTTTCACACTCTGAAGATATAAGTCAAATTAAAACGTAAGGCAGCATATACATGTATTGAACACTTGAATAAGAAATAAGCCAACAGAAGAAACCATTAAAAAATTAAAATTAAAAAAAATGCTGCACTCAAAGAACAAGAAAACGTGCCTCTACATTACCAATCATTATGCATCCCAATCTCATGGTGTCACAAGACTTCGTATTAAGAACCAGAACTCTAGTCACAGGAATTATCTAGCTAATTGTGACGGGTTTATCTTTCACAAAGCAGTGTGAAGAAATTGGTTAATCAAAAAATTTTTCTCTAAAAGAGTACCACTAATAAACTTAAAATGTTAATATTTGATGTTAAGAAAAGTTGTGGTATATCAGGAAAATATGATGGGTACATAGGACATCAAGAAAAAACCAAAATAAACACCAGAAACGATGCTGAACAGGTTAGCATCTTCTGGGCATAAGAACTTGAATTGGATTTGTCACACAAAAAGCACAAGGAAACATACTACAACATCATCCAGATAGCAAAGATCAACAAAAGTAAGAGTGAAAGTTTATGCAGCTAAAGGAAACTATACATCCTACAAGATTTAATAAAAATTTAACATCGATATGGTAAAATAAAAGACCACTTTAGGCACACCAAATAGATAATTCCCGCTCTGACCTAGAGGCCAGTTATGAACAAGGAGCTATGCTACACACATAAAGCACTATCATAACCTGAAGCGGTAGTAGACTTCTGAACTAAGGTATGCTCCTTCTAAATGCCCTCAAGAAAAAAAATGACTAAAGACCTACAGAGAAAGTTCCATGATTACTCAATTGTAAATGGATCTACCTATTGATAAAAAAAACCCACAACCACCTAAGAATACCTTACAATATATCCAATGGGAAAATATTATTACTCAGCATATCAATACACCATAGGCATAAAAGGTCTAGTATGGTGAACTAAGAGTGGACTCGTGGCGGCTACTGAATAAAAGAGAGAACCGTAATAGAAGAAGTTACACTTGATATCACAATCTAAAATCATGTAGTAGAGAACACATACTTCAATAAACAAGAAGAACACATTGTCACTTACAAATATGGAGTTAAAGAATCACACAAAAAAAACATAAAAGCCTAAACTGATACATTCTTTCTTATAATCCAAATTATAGCTACTAAAACAAAGTGCCGTAGAGTCTATAGTCTACGCTAATCTAAAATTCTCTCTAGTGATCAAGTTTGATGATTAATCATAAGAGCTTACACCTATAAAAAATCAAAAATACCTCTTTAGATGATAAAATCTATATATAGTGTCTCATTTAATATCCAAATCTCATAACCAGTCAACCTCTTTAGATTGAGTTGGGTTTTTTCAAAGCTTATATGGTTGTAATAGAGTGATTAATATTTAAGTTGAGTATGGAAAAAAAAAAATTTAAATAGATGAATGGCAAAATTAAGAAAAAAAAATTAAGGACAATTAATATTAAAAAAAATGGAGTGATATTTTTTTTTAAATAAAGTGTTAAAAAATAAAATACAAGTTATATGGTAACATATAATGAAGGATAGAAAATATGACCTTTAGAGTAGATAAACTTAGCATCATAGGATTAGACAGAAAAGGAACATAAGGTTACATGGACAGAAATGCTTTAGAAATATTTGTGAAGAATGTGTTTAACACTTTAAACAATTCTCAACATGAATGAATGTAAAATAAGGATTAATAACACCGACCCCAAATACTTAGAAAAAGGCTAATGATGTTGATGATGAAATTGTTGATAAGCCAATCACAAATTATTAAGATAAGGCTAATGACAATGACAATGATATCAATACACTAAAGCATAATAAATAAGACCCATAGTTTCATAATCAAACTTGTTAGCCTTATCTAAATGATGTAAAGTTGGCTTATAATCAACAATTTGTAAATTTATAATACTAGCTATCTAAAGGAAAAATTGACACGCATAAAGTTTTGAATGCACAATTACCCTTTTTTCAAATGATAAAGGCCACTATTTTGAGCCCTAAAAAAAATAGACACTGTAATAAACAAGAACATTGCTCAAACATACCTGATCTTTGATAAAGCACCTAAAAGCTGTGCAACGAGGTCCAAAAGAAGCCCTCTTAAGTCAACTAATGAAGGATACTCAACCTGGCTGACAACCCTGCAAGAACAAAATCACCTTATACTTGACAATATAATATAAACAAACTACAACACATATTAGAGAATGGAGCGCAGGCATGTGTTAACTAAGCAGAGGGTGGTTTGGGCATACGTAATTATAAAGAAGCCCTTTAGCTTAAGTGTTCTATAATAGCTAAGCTAATAAGTAATTAATCCAAACTATACAGAAGAAATGTATTATTTACATTTAATCAAATCATCTCATGACTAATATACTAAGCATAAGTTGTGCAATCACAACAATGTAACTGACAACATTGTAATTACAATCAATAATTCTGAGCATGTGTGCTTTGACAATTTATGCGGATGCAGTTGTCAAATCAATACAAGTCCCAAGCGCAGAAAATGCAATGGTTTCAAATGGTGCTTGGAGCCACATTTTATCATGTGTTTTGGGTATTTTATCATTAAATGGCTTGTGTTTTAAATGGTTTATCATTAGTTGGGTTACTTTCAATCATCAACTTATCATTATCATACTAATCTGCATTTCAGATCTGATAAGAGCATGACACCACAAAGAAAACTAAGATTATTTTCATACCAGTGCGACCCTATACTTCACTTTTAGGGGAACTCATCTATGGTCCATGAGTCTACTTCCATTATTTGCCACGAATAATATAAGGTTTCCTTCTGAGAAAAAGCTGATTGCCAAGCCACTTCAATCAAATCACCTCTTAAGGATAACTCCCAACAAAAGTTGATAGAAGAATAACCACTACATCTTTTCTCTATTTCCAACATTCTTGCTTTCTGTACTTTAGAAATAACATTTATGGCGTCATTTATTTCAGCAAACAAAAGCTACAATTCATAAGTGAAATGTAGAGAGATACTATATCTAGTAAAAACGTGCTTCCACTAAAAACATCAAAACTCTTCCAATAAAAAAAAAGCTTGGGTTTAGTAAATTAGAAAAAACTTTTCCAATATTTGATAGCTTAAAATTTATTGATTCAATAGTTCAAAGATGACTTTGTCGGCCACAAAATACAGAAAATTTGCTTGAGATTTATGTGGGCTCTGCAAATCTCCACCCAGCTTAGCTATATTCAAATGATCCTAGGTTGATCTTTCAAAAAAAATAGTGGATATTAAATAAAATATTACCAATATATTTCTCCATCATAGGGGATTTTATGAACTAGTTTGATGTTTGCCAGAGGAACATACCTCTAATATTAATTATCCATCTTGGTCATAAAAGTAAACATTAGATGCGACTGGTCTATAGGCAACATGATATTACTTTAATAGCAAAAATTTAAATTGGAAGGTGAAAACTTTCTTGTTATTAGATCAAAGCGAATGATAAGAAAATGATGATAATGGACTGAGTTGACTTTAACAAAATGTTAAAAAATTGCATAATTGTTATCTTTCTAGGATTTCAGTGGGTTCTAAATCCCCCAACCAAGCTCTATTACATTCGTGTGATTCAGGATTGATCTTTCAAAAGGCATGATAAATATTAGATCAAAAAATATTAAGCAAACTCACCTTTGGAGAATTTTATAATCAGGTTTGAAATTCGCTTCAGATACAATCACATATTATTCGTTAACTCTAGATCGCAAGAGAACTTTTGGGTAAGTTTGGTCTATAAGATATAGGATGCTTTACTTTAATAATAGCAATTTGAATCGGACAACGAAAGGTGTATTGTTCATGTACCAAAATAAATGGCAGATCAATAATCTCAAATCCAATCAAAACCTTATGGTTCCATCATCGCAAATAAACATAGACCAAGATCTACTTTATCAATGAAGGTTGTTTATCCAACCTAATCATAAAATTATTGCCAGTAATAATGAGTTGCACATTCCATAAATATCTCAAAAACTAAAATTTGTAGAAAGGGCTTCGATCTAACCTTGGCAAACAAAAGGTTCACGCCCAATTTAGTATGCTTCATGCCTCATAACTCATTGGGATAATCATTAAAGAACAACCAACCTTAAGTTATAACTGTTATATAATGGCGTCATAGTAAATAGATTACCCACTTAGGGTCTGTTTGGGGGAGCTACAGTTTATCAATAATCTGCTAATAAGCAGCTAATCCAGATAATTTGCTAATCAGCTGAACCGAAATAACTGGCTGGCAGTTTGGTTTGTGCATTTAGAAAGCAGTTGATTTGCAGTTGTTTCTGGATAAATGATAATTTTGCCCCTGTTAAGTAGTGTTGTTTGCAATATTGCTCTCATAGTTATATATTTGATATTTTAGAAGCAAAAGCCCACTTTATAAAAATACAAAAAAAAAGAATATACACTTCACTTAAGAGTGAGCATCTATAATCTATATTGTACAAGCTAAAATCAAGGATGATCTTATAAGGCTCCTCCAACAAAAAATTAACTCCATGATAACTCCATGGTTTTTATTGTATTTCATCAATGTCTCTGATAACATTTCTTTGATTTCTTAATTCATTCTTCTTAATAAATTTTCAAACAGGTGACTAGTAGAGCTTCCCCAAAATGTGAAGCAGCATAAAGGTTCATTTTGTTACTTGAGCTTATAAATCATGTTCTGAAAGAATAAGCAATTTTTGAGATTCCATCATTTAACTTCGATACAGTTAGAAATCAAAACTGATTTTGAATACTGCAAACATATTGAACTCTCTTCAAATGAAAGGATTTCCTCCACAAGAGTAATGCTTTCAATCTCACAAAAAAAATAAAGGAAAAATGAAATTGTCATATTCCAAAGCAAGTTCTACATTTACAAGCAGTCAAATGAACCCTATTCTTAATAGAACTCAACCATGTCTGAAGCACAAAAATAAAGCAGGTTGACCACCATCTTCGCCTTCCAGAAGACACAAACCAATTGTAAACAGCATAAGAGAAGAAAGAAAAACAAAATGAAGGGCGAAGCACCATTACAGCAAAACTAAACGCAAAAAAACGAAAAAATTCGATGTGGCAAGCTTACTCCAACCACGGCTCCGGCCTCAACCGCCGTCTTATTTTCCAACGGAGAAGGGGCTTCCACAAACCAAGAACCAGACTCCTTAATCAGCTTCTTCTAGGAAACAACAGTAGGCTTTGCCCAACCTAGGGCACGCGATATAGGAGAACACAACTCGCCTCGATGATTGGAACTGAGAGAATTTTCAGCAAAGCGGATGGAAGGGGAAGTGGCGTCGGCGGCCAATGTGGTGGTAGTTCGGCTTCGTTGTATTTGCGTTCTGCGAACATGAAGCTCGAACCAGGGTTCGCGAGAGCGACAAGGGCAGCGGGGAAGCGAGAGAGACGAGGGCAGCGGGGTAAAAGTTACGAAACGAACGCGGTTTGTGGGGTCGATCCCGCGGCTGGGTTTATTAAAGAAATCCATACGCTGTTTCCAATTAAGCTCTCCAAACGCACGAAACAAATGGGAGAGTGGCGTTTTCAAAACAAGCATGAAGGTGATATAAATAAGATTTAGATTATTTGAACAAGCATGAAGAAGACTACAAGGTGCATAGTTAACAGAGTAACAAGATAAAATAGAAGATAAACCTAATCAAACCTACCAAACTACATAGACAAATAATGTTCTTTTAGAATAACCAGATAAAAGTTGAGTAACCAGATCAATGATTATGTCATGGAAACTCAGCAAATACATAGTTAACTGCTAGTTTAAATCAAGATAATATACATCAACCACATCTAGCCTGTTACCAAATTAAGGTGCATGAAATTTTTAATTCAGTTAAAAGACAAACACTGCTATAAGCTAGATTCAAATATCACAAGCACTAACACAAGGAACACGGAACAATATCAAAGAGACTTTACTTAAAGTACATAAAGCAAAAACTTCAAAAAACATGGCAAAAAATTTGACCTGTCCGCATTGATTAGCCAATCAAATACAAAATTTTCTAGGCCAGACCAAAGTTTTTCTGAAAAGAAAAAAGGCAATATCAAAAACAGAAAATAGATACTCTAACAGCGTATTATCGAAAATAAATAGAAAAAATTTTAATGGAGGCCTAGGAAACCTGTGATTCCCTCCTGAGGGCAACACTCTACAAAGGGTATGCATGCTGAACAAAAGATACACTCCACTGCAAGCTGTACAATAAAATGAGAAGAGCAATGCAAAATTTTAGAATACATTCTAAAGCTTGGAACTTTTACACAAATAATAATCATCCTTAACTCAAAGGGTTGGTTCTAACATCAAGTCTCATAGCAGATAGGACATTCAGGAGAATAGTACATTTGTTGCTAGCTAGGATAAACTTCACAAACTATTACTCAGACAAGACAAACTACAAAAAATGGTTAAAAAAAGAATTTTGGAATTTGTTTCACATAATATGTACATGATAGTTTAAATGATAACGTCAAATGCAAATAAAAACATGAATAAGAAAGAGGAGCTAAAAAATAATGAAAATAATTTGAACTTCCATCTTCTTTACACTTACAACCTGTGTTTTTTTCAATGTCTTCTCTCTCAAGTGAGCCAATGAAAAGGACACAATAGAAGAGTATAAAAGAGTTATACTAAAATATAATTAATAGAATTCAAACTACCATTTCTGTGTTGCAACTAAAAAAGACATTGCAAAAAATTTTAAAAATTCAGTTAAATCAAATGAATTAGCATAGAACCTTACAAAATTATCAGAACTACAAGGTGAGTAAAGAATTCCGCCATTAATCCTCATAGTTTACCAGAATAAGTGAGACAATGATTGTGAAGAAATTCATCCTATCAGTTCATAGAGGAAGAAGAGTAGGCAATTATGAAATTTATGTAAACTTTATTGCCTTAAAAAAAAAATATTTAAAAACTAATGAAAGATTACATTTTTTAAGTGTAATTAGCATGATACGTCCACCATTTTTTTTATACTGTAGATATACAATTAAACAAATATAAATAAGGAATATTAATATTAACATGAAATTGCACCTTCAAGTCAACATGAAATTATAAGGAAGCAACAAACAAAAGTAATGACCTTCTTTTGGTACGTGGATGCATCATTTGCACCTTTTGGAGATTCACTGAAACTCAACCAGTAAAACTTAATTAGCCATATATATATTTCAGTCATCCAGACAGCTGACATAATTTTGAAAGATAAAAACTAGCATTTCCATTAAGCATCCATTCATGAAATTTCAAACTATGATGAATCGGAGAGGTACCAAGAATAGTTAGGAAAATGGTCATTGGATTTAAATAAACATGTCTAATTATCACCATCCCGCTCCTATAACTAAAGCTTTTTTTCAGAACAAAGAGCCTAGTTTGTCCTTCACATTGACCTTCTGCATACTGCCCCATTTCAGCACAGGGGTAAGCACATGCCTATATACATAAGTATAAACCTAGGACTTGAATGCAAGAATTTTTCCGATTAACCAATAGAAAACCATACAAGTTAACTGCGAGAACATTGTCATACAAAATTAATCAATTAAACTTCTACAACGCTATGAATTTTCCCTGGCCCGCCACCTTCTACAAATCCCACCTTGTATTTTTACTGTACTTCATGCACATCCGCACCAGCATAGGTATGTCCTCATGTAAACACATTGATTATTAAGCATGCCTCATCATAAAGTGGAAAAAGGGTAAATGGTAACTTTCGTGATAACCTAGTGTTCATAATACAAAATGATAAAGCCATTTTCTTACAAGCATTTTGCCCTCAATTGATCTTATACGTGTTATTTCTTCAACTAATTGCATCCAAATACGAAAAATTAAAATAAAATAACCATATCAGGTTCTAGAATAAAGTTTGTTCGATCACAACGAGTGACCTTTATAGATGTCATTCAATCCAAAAGAAATAAAACAAAAGTTTTAGAGAAGATTTTATGAAGCTGCGTGACTAGAAAGTTATGCCCTATGAACAATGTTACATTATTAACAATAGATTTCCCCATAATATGTTGGTAGTGAGTTTTATTCATCGGAACAGCATTGAGATCATTAGCTAATTTCTCATTGAGATCCATTGTAACAGTCACTAGTTTGCATAAGAGTAGATTATTCTCTGTCAAAAGATGAAGACATATTTGTGTTGAGACGGATAAATGTCATGAGATGACCGAGCAACTTTCATGCTAAAGAAATACTGGAGTGATCTTAAGTCTTTAATTTCAAATGAAGTAACAAAAATACCTTTCAGGGACTCCAATGTCGGTAGGTCATCCCCTGTGAGCACGATATCATCAACATAGATGATAAGGATAGTAATTTTGCTACTGGATGAATGCAGAAAGAAGAGAGCATGATCTAATTGGGCCTGAAAAAACCATGACCCATTACTGCCTTTGTGAATTTAGCGAACCAAGCCCTAGGGATTGCTTCAGTTTGTATAGGGACTTCCGCAGTCTGCACACTTGTCCCTTAGAAAAAACAGAGTTAAAGCCTGGAGGGAGGCACATCTACACCTCCTCTGTAAAATCCTCATTTAGGAAAGCATTCTCGACATCTAACTGAAGCAAGGGACAATCCAGATTCGCAGCAAGAAAAAGTAAGGCATGGATGTGCTCAATTTAGTAATTGGAGCAAATGTCTCCTAATAATCAACCTTGTATGTTTATGAATAACCTTTGGCAACTAATTGTGCCTTGTTGTGTTCAAAGGATCCATCAGAGTTAAACTTGACGCTAAAAATCTAATGGCACCCCACTGCTTTCTTACTCAAAGAAAGATCCACAACATCTCATGTATGATTTCACGGAAGGGCATTCACCTTATCCATTACTACAGCGTTCCATGAAGGGTCAGCTAATACTCTTAAATAGTAGATAGTAGGTAATGATCCGTCAAGGCAGTAACAAAAACTTTGTAGGTCGACCATACACTGTGAAAAGAGATATATTTTCCATGGAATAAAAAGACTACGCCTGATTACATACATCGATAAGAGAGCTCACCTCCTCATTCGGAGTGGGGTTAGTTGTGGGGATGTTGCTTGGAGTTGATTCCACACCTTACAAGGAAGCAGCGGGCTCCATAGTAGGACTATCAGGACGAGTGCGTCGAGTATAGACACGGAGGATGGGAGGACGTTTGGTTGACTGGTAGGTGATAGATCCACAAGGACAGATGGTTCCTTGGATATAATGGTTGGAGAAATATCCACCGAGATTGGATAAAGAATAGCGTCCAAGAAATCAAACTCCCCCTCACTTGAGGCAGCGATAGGGAAGTAAAAACCATTTTCAAAGAAGGAGACATCGGCACTTACATAGAATTTATTTGTGGTAAGATCAAAACACTGATAGCCTTTTTTAGTGGTAGAATACCCAAAGAAGACCTTTTATGGATCTGGGATCAAGCTTACTACAACTCGGAGCTGTGTTCCAAAAAAAGACCATGCACCCAAAAATTTTGGGTTCAAGATCGATGAAGAACCGATTGGTAGGGAAACAAGACATCGAGATGGCTAAAGGGGTTCGGAAGTTATGAATTTTTTTGGCGACTCTATAGATGAGATAGATAGCAGTAAGCACGGCATCAATTTAAAACCCTTTAGGGACATTAGATTTAAACATAATGAAGTGAGTCACTTCGAGATGTTGGTTTTTTCTCTTGATTATCCCATTTTGTTGGGGAGTCTTCATACACGAGCTATGATAAAGAATGTCCTTACTTACCAAGAGTTCACCTAAAATAGAGTTAAAGAATGAACGGCTATTATCGGTACGAAAGATCTAAATTGACGTTTTGAATTAGGTTAAAATGAAAGAATGAAAGTTTTTGAAGATGACAGCAACTTCAAACTTATACTTTAAGATATAGACTCGCGTCATTTAAGCGTGATAAACAACCATTTATTAATATAGTTGGGCGTACGAGAGGGTCCTTACAGATCACTATGAATAAGTGAAAAATGAGAGAAAGGCGTGTAAGAGTGAGAATATGGAATGCGATGATATTTAGCTAATTGACAAGTCTCACATTTGAAACTAGCAAAATTTTTATTAGTAAACATCAACGAATACAAATGTTTTAAATATTGAAAACTGGGATGACCCAAACAATAATGTGACAGCATAATAAAACATTCAGTGAATTGAGAAAGACTTCAACTGCTGGGAGAAGTGTCCTCGTTCCACGTGTCTTTCTTTTGGAAGAATTAGAGCCCGGCAACTCGCTTAAAAGTTCCAATCATCCTTCCCAAACGACGATCCTGAAAGAGACAACCATCATGAGAAAAATGAGCAACACAATTCATGTCATGTGCCAGCTCAATAACAAATAACATGTTATATTTCAACAAGAGAATATGCAACACAGATTCTAAAGTTAGACCAGTTGTTAATACAACCTATCATTTACCAACAATAGAGTTAGTGGAGTCATCAGCAATTTAAACTATATATTTCCCTGAGCAGGGGTGATATGACGAGAAAGCTTGAGGCATCAAGTCATGTAATCCGTGGCACCAGAAATAATAATCCAAGGCTCAGAAGAGATAAAAGAAGTGAGTCATAGGAATGGTACCTTGACGAACATGGGAGGTCGATAAACCGAAAAAGAACTGACTGGATCCAAGTAGTTTGATTAATTGTTTCATCTAACTCTTAAGAGTGTTGGATGATTCTAGAGTGTTTCGAGTGGAGGTAGGTTGAGCTAAAATAGAATCAGATGCTGTAGCGAGTCCCTTAATAGAGGAAAATTTGGTTAACAGTTTGTGTGCTGGTTTTTCATAAAGTTTTTAACATTTGTCACTAGTGTGGTTGGGTTTGTGACAGTAATCACAAGTGGAGCCAGTGGCATGAGATGGCATGGACAAGTGTTGAGTACTAATAGTGACCAGGGCAGATGATATGACTGAAGTGAAAGTGTCGGGCATGACAAGTCTCTGATTGTATTCGCGTCGAATCTCTGTGAAAGCAGCAAGAGCAAGAGGAGAGAATCCCAGCCAAGGATACTGCTTCGGACTTCATCAAGGCCTTTATAAAGGTATGCCAGAAATTGAAACATGCGACCTTTTTCTACAATTTTCTAAAAGAGGAAAAAGCCTATAGCAGATTCCCACAAGTAATCATAGTAGAGATCGCATTTCATCCATAAGGCCACCAAATCATTGTAGTATTGGGTCACGGTCCTTGATCCCTATTTTGCCTCGCGGATCTTCTTGAAAACCTCAGAAAGTTAGCTAAAGTTCCCAACATTAGAGTGGGTATCCCGCACTGCAGTCCATAAGGCTCTGGCAGAAGGAAGAAACATATATGAACGGCCAATTATAGTCTCCATGGAGTTAATCCGCCATGACTTGATCATAGAATTCTCCACTTCCCACGTTTCATATGTTGGGTCAGTTTTAGGAGGTTTACGAATCATTCTGGTGAGATAGCTGAATTTCCTGCATCCCTTGACGAATAAGAACAAGGCTTGGATCCATTGGAGAATTTAGATCCGTTCAGTTTGTGGGTGGTGATTAAGAAATTTGTGTGGTTTTCCGTTCCTCCAATCTGTGGAGAGATTGAGATCGATGTCGACCCTCCGGTGGACTCAAGTACATTGTCGAGAGAAAGCTCAATGGTGGAAGAATCCTCCATGGTTCCAACTGAGTCAAAAGTAATGTTGAGTTGTCAAAACATAGAGAGATCCTTGATTAGAGACGAAATAACAGAGATTCGGCGGCTGGAAAGGGATTCTAGCAGCTGGAAAGGGCATAAAAAACGGAGATCCGGTGGTTGGAAAGGTATTCCAGAGACTGGATAAGAATTTCGGCGGCTGGAAACAGCCGCCAGTCAATCCAATAGTCTGTTGAAGGGAGCTTCAGCTGGTTGGAACAAGATCCGTCGGCTGGAACCAAGTATCAATCCCCCGAGCGGTGCATCTATCGCAACGGAAACCCTCGACACAACTCGAGCAGTGCTTCCATCTTAGCGGTACCCTCGACTCAAAACGAGAGCAGTGCTTCCATCTTAGCGGTACCCTCGACTCAACACGAGAGCAGTGCTTCTGTCTTGCGGAAGTCACGACGGGACGTATCGATCACTCTGAAGAAGGCTCAACAAAATTACGGCAGGAACAAATCAATTTTCACACAAAGTGGATACAATTCTGCCTTCTTTAGTTCATGCATGACCATAGATTTTGAAATAAGCTCCAGATTTTTGTACTAAGGGCTATCAAAGCCTCTGATTTTTGTACTAAGCCCTTAGGAGGATATCATCATCTCATCTACATCGAAGGGTATTAATACAAATCCTTCAAATGACACAGCCATTCATAACCTTCCTATTGTTAAGAACATCAATGCCACAGTTTATGAGCATCATAGATGGTAGTTTACATAGTACAGAAGTCCAAGTAGATGAAAGGTTTCAAAGCATGATCTCCAGAAGGGGGAAAAAATAAGAAAAAAATTTATTGTCAATATCCAAGATTTATTAGGCTACAACTTAGACGCTACAAATTAGAACTTTTCATAAATACACTCCGCTATCAGATGGATGATACCTCCTTTATCAGCATTTTATCTTTAATTATAGTTTTTTTTTTTTAATTTAATTTGCTAGCTCCTTATAATTGATTCATGCATGTTCATTTCATTATCTAATCATAAAATTATGCTTAAGATAAAAACTTCTAGAGCCTTCCCTTTCATGATCCTTTGACACTAATTTATCATTCATGAAATAGAAGCATTGTGTACCCTTTGTTATACATGTGCATACACCTCACCACAATGGAAAACAAAAAAAAAATTATCTTAAGACTCAGCCATTATAAACCAAACGTTCCGATTTACATCCATTCTGAGACAAATCAAGGAAGACGCCTTCCAAATTACCATAAAAGAGATGGTCTAAATACTTTAAAAGAGAGAAAATGATCATATAAAAGTTCACATACTAACATATAGAAGTTCCTCACCTTAACAAATGATTTGAAGGCATTCAACAAAATCTTCAAATCAAGCAAATAAATTTTATTAGTTGCAACATAAGCCAAAAGCCATAAAACTCAATATGCATCATCTTAAAGAGATTATATGAAAAGGACATAATCAGAAGCAATTAAATATGCAGCATATTAAGCAGATTAAATTAAATGAAAAGAGCATAGTCATAAGCAATTATATATGTAGCATATTAAGCAGATTAAATGAAAAGAACATAATCATAAGCAATTACCTTTCCCTCCATCTTAAAAGAGCTTCCAAAAGAGGCACAGGTGTATGCCGAGCAACCATAGCCAATGAATCCAATACTTGCTCATAGGCTGGGTCGGAAGGACGAAGATATTGACCATCCTGAAATGTTTAGCATGATAGTATGTAACTTCCCGTAACAAAAATGTCGTTTGGAAAAAGAAATAACTAATACATCCATATGAATGCGTGAACAAAAAAGAGACAATCAAAGCACAAAAATATTTATGTTATAAAGGAGCATCAGATGCCTTCCCGTACCAAATGACATAATTAACAATAAAATATCATTTAGAAATCAGAATACATGCTAAATGCACGGGAAATGAAACAAAAGTTTGGCATGCATACTATAAAAAGATAGTTTTGAGGTGGCACCACAGCCACAAAAGCCTTGTACTATAAAAAGATACAAAGTTCTACTTTCTGAACCAATGCATAGATAAAAAGTTACCTCACCTCATGTACTAAGAACAGAAAGCAGTCACCCTTTCTAACCTTAATTTGTTCCGTACTTCCATTAAAAAAAGCAATCTTCCTTTTACTTTATAATTACTAATATGGAAGGTAGACGCACAAAAGAGTAAGTAATAATAAACTTAATGTCTTCTTTTTTTTTTTCCAATTATTTTCATCCTTTCTGCCTTAGAAATTAAAAACAATCTCTAACGACATCTTTGGTTCAGTATATGCCGGCCATAAATAAAATTACATCAAAATCTTCCAAGATAGATTGCAAAGAGAGTCATGTGAGATGAGAAGATTAGTTGCATCAAAATAATAAACTGAAAGTTTTAGGGGAGTAATAATAAATTATACACTAGTAAAGAGCTTCTGAACAGAATTAGAACGAACAAAGGTTGCTAATGAAAAGAAATGTATTTTAAAGAGTGACAATAATTAAATAATACTTGGCTTATAATGATTACAAGAAAATAAAAAAAATATTTTAAAAAGACAGAATAAGGCAAGAGTGCCATCTTTTGATAATATATATAATATAATTAATATTGAGTAAGTAGAGTATAAGAAATATAAAATAGTTAAAATAAAAGGTAAGAGATTTAGAGACTTCAATCAAACTATAAGCACTAAAAGCAAAAATTAAGGAATCTTACTTTAAAATTTATAAAAGAAGGAAATGCTATTTTGATATATTATTAAATTGGAGTTTTAAAAATATTAAAAAAATACATAATAAATAAAATAATGAAGCATATCATATACAATCCAAAATAGAAAATACAGTGTTGAAGATTCATAAAAATAGAACTTCAAGTCCATATCAGTTCTCTATTGAGATTTGGAGAAAGATAAGACTATCATTGTGGTTGGGTAATAAATATTTTCAATGAAATTTTGAGATCTGAGAGAGTCAAAAAATCAAATAAAAAAATTAATAAGTACCAATATTTAACCAAAAAAAAAATGAAGATTTCGCTAATACAATGGAATTAAACTCACGAGACACTATATGAGAGGTGAATACAACATAGACTTAGAAATTACAATAAATTCATATAGTCAATTTAGTTTTATACAAAAAATATCTACTATGGAAATAATTTTTGTTCTAGAACAAGTAATAAAAAACTATCAAGAGCAAAAAAAATTGTCATATGATTCTTATTGGTCATGACAGCATGATCAAGAATCATGAGAATCAATATGTTACACTTTAAAAAAGAAAGGTAATGTGTCAAAGGTACACTAAAGCCATTAAAGATGAGTAAGATTGAACATTGATTAATAGTAAAAAAGTTATGGAATGATCAAAAAGTTTTAAATACAGCAAAAATACATCAAGTTTTAGCATTAAAGCCATATATAATTGTAATGACTATAAAGATTCTTCAAAGAATATTCAAAGTGACAAGTCTTGGAAAATACTATTTAAAAATTGCATAGCTCTAATCAGTGAGACATCTGTTGAAATAAATAAAAAATTAGAACAATTAGAAAAAATTAAAGGCAAATGTATTAAAATTAAGAGATTAAAAGATTGAGTATATGATATATATTTTTAATAAATGTAATATTGATATATTAGTCACATAGCTCTAGCATAAAATTGCAAAGTCAAGTGACTCTAACCATAAATGAAATCAATCACTAGCTAAAAATTCAGAAGTTAACAACACACACAATTGTGATTTACTCGAAAGGAGCAACATCAGCACACTTTGAGAAATAATTGATGAACCGTCAATATGAAGTGGTGTCTTATAGACATCGGAAACTTGATAGATCATTGAATAATGTTTGTTCCCGACATTGAAATGATTAGGATGCTACTATAGGGAGCGATGGATTTTAGGTTGATGGTTGTGTCCATATAGACTAGAAACGCGTCAAAATTCAAATCAAATGCTAGATATTGCTTCTTCAGCCTGATAAAATGCAAAATAAAATATAAAATATAAAATATAAAATATATAGTTAAAAGTTATATTAGAAAATAATTTATTCATGTTAAAAGTTATGAGGATAAGATTTTCTCCTTAGATTAAATTTATTTTCTTGGATTGGATTTATTCATTTCCTATTTTAGGTTTTCCTTTGTCACCAGGTAATTATTATGAATTAATTAATTGGAGATATAAGTATTATATCTTTCCTTTCATGTTTTCCTTATCTTTCCTATTCTAGGATTCATGTAAGAGTATTTATATCCCTTTTCGTATCAATAAAATAATTCCGCTAAATTCTGAAAGACAGCATGGTATCAAAGCCTTGAAACAAACTTTAGAGTCTCCTAACGCTGGAAACATCCTACCTCATGCAGCCGGCAATCTTTGTCGTGCTGCAAGTCATTCCTCCGCCTTCTCCTCTTTAGTTTTTCTGTCAAAAAATTCCTCTCCCTACAGGCCCCGCCGCCATGATTTCCTCCTACAACCTTTTCTCGCCGTCAAAATTTCTCCTGCAGCCTTTTCTAGTGTTGAAATTCCCTCAAGCAACCATAAATCCTCTCTATCGACTGGAAAACTTCTTGCAAACCGCAAATTCCTGCAGGCTTCCTTAGTGAAGACGCATCTTCCTGCAGTCTTTCCGTTGCATCTAGATCTCCTACCTATCAATCCTGAAATTCCTGCATTCCAAGCCTTAGTTTACTTCTCTATCTTCCTCCAGTCGGATCGGTGTTTTAGAGAGTTAAGAATGGCAATGAAGAGAAGCGTTAATGATCTGAAGGGCGCATATCTAAACGGAAAGAGGGCATTTGTAAGGGCAAATCTAAATGCACCTCTCGATGATAACCTCAAGATCACCTACGATACCAGGATTAAGTCTGTCGCTTTGTTGACCTCACTTTTGGTTTAGGTCTAGTTTTCTCCTCTTTAGTAGCCTAGGGTCTAGCCATAGAACTTTCTTGTTGACTATTCTTAGAAAACTAGAAAATAAACTCTCACCATTAGAAACTCTAAACTCTTCTTTGCTCAACTTGAAGTTCCACATATTGGTCCTAACCTCTACCACTTAATAGGTGGGGTCAATATAGGAGAGCTCAAGGTGAGTCCCTATAGGACTGTTTAGCCTTAGGATTAACCCTGGATGTTGGTATGGAGCTACTTCACTCACTTGCACTCACTGTCACTCACTTTCACCTTCATTCATTCGCAACCCTAAACCCAAACTTGTTGACTTTCATACCTTAATCATTTGGGACAATCATGTAGATGGTCTCCTAGACCCACTAGACCTAGGTTGGGGTTTAGATAAAACCAGTACACACAGGACCCAAATGGAGATTCCATTGGTCCGGGGCTCGAATCAGGATAGTTGGCACCTCAATTTCACCAAAATACCCAACTCAGCCCAATATCCATCAATTTGATCCTAATTTCCCCCAATTTCAATTCAAAACTCAAATTCATCTTTCATATGATCAATTCAAACCAAATCTCAACCTAATTGACCCATAGTTTAAGCTCAATCTCAACTTAAATCCAAAACCCTCAATTTTGCCCCAATTTAGTCATATCTTCAAATGTCACCAAATTGAATGCCCAAACCCCAAAATTGACACACAATTTATGTTGAGAACCCTTTATGACATTCCCCTAAACCGTTTTAGGCCATCAATTTGGACCTAACCCAACATTGGCCTAACCCAAACCCAAGTTCAACCCAACGCCCCAAAATTCACTAAGTGCCAAAATTCACTAAATTGAACTCCCTAAATTGAACTCGTGCCAAAATTCACTAAATTGAACTCCCAAATCAACTCAAAATCACTCCAAATCTTTTCTAAACCTCTTATGACGACCATCTACACTATCTTGATCGATCAATTAAGCTCGGAACCAAAATTTTCATGGAAATTGAATTTGACGCATTTTCGACCCGGTCATCGACGAGATTGCCTGGACGACCTCGGATGATGAAACGGACTGCGTCGGCTCGTTCGGGGCGTCGACTTTGCTTAGGGAGGACATTCACTTTGAGGTGGTTTTGTGCACGCACAAGTTGGAAATTTTTTTAAATGTTAAATATTACAAAAAAAAATTAAAAAAAAATTTAATCCCTAACCTAACTCACGCTCTCAGGCTTCCTCCCCCATTTTGTCGCACGCCTGACAAATCCTTCTCCTTCCTGCTCGCGCACAGCCGAGCCCCATACGCAATCCTTATCGTGATTCTTATCTTTCGCCCTCCTCGAGCCACCCGCATGGAGGATCTCCCCCCTCTCTTCGCTCCCATCGCAATCCCTCGAACCGCAGCCCCCATGCGCCCCATACGCGATCTTTTATCGCTTGATCCTCTGTCTCTCCGTCGCTTCAAGGCTCGACTCGCCACCAGGTGAGTTCAGGTAAGCTTGCTCCTCCTTTCTTAGCTATATAAGCTTCTCTTAGGGAGAGGTTTAGGGTTGGCCGAAATTTTGAGAAGAGGAGGTGCTGCCGAAATCTTTTGGGGCTTATTCTTGAAGTTTACTTTGTTTGTTTTCTTCAAGAGGTAACCCTCTTCCTCCTTTCTGCAAGCATTTGAAGGAATTATCTTTTTTATTCTACTTTCATGCCGTGGGTTTAATGTGCTCATAATTTATAAAGATGTATTTTGGCAATTTTGCCTTGATGATTTCTTGCCTGGCGAAAAGAATGATCCTTT